GCTTTTTCTGTAAAGAGCCAATCAGTAAATATTTTAGACTTGCAAATAGGTCACGGTCACGTGGTCTCTGTTACACCTATTCAACTACCATCGTTTTTTGCAAAAGCAGCCATAGACGATACATAACCGAATGGATGTGGCTGTATTCCAATGAAACTTTATTTATTTTTAAGACCAGGCAGTGGGTGGATTTGACCAAGGGCTGTGTAGTTGGCCAGCCACTGACCTACAGAAGCCGAAGTCTCGATCATCATCATCTATGTCTAAAATAAATTGGCCATTTTTCCTCCAATGCAGAAAAAAATAAAAATTATTTAATGACGATGTCTCCCCCAAAAGATCATGTGGATTTTTCTTTTCTTTTTTTTTTAAAATATATTTTATTGATTTTTTACAGAGAGGAAGGGAGAGAGATAGAGAGTTAGAAACATCTATGAGAGAGAAACATCTATCAGCTGCCTCCTGCACATCTCCGGGATGTGCCCGCAACCCAGGTACATGCCCTTGACCGGAATCGAACCTGGGACCTTTCAGTCCGCAGGCCGACGCTCTATCCACTGAGCCAAACCAGTTTTGGCTGGATTTTTCAACATCATATGGTAGTTCAAGCAACTCTTTGTTGAATGTGCTCCAGTCACACTGGCCTTTCTGTTCCTTGACCACGTTCCCACCTCAGGGCCGTTACCGGCTGAGCAGAGCTACTCCCAGACTCCACCTGCCTCCTCCTCGACCTTCGGTCTCAGTGGGTTTTCCCTGGCCAGCCCAGCTACGTAACCTGGCCGCATCATGCTCTATCGCATCACTGGCTTTACCTATTTGGGGAGGAAATGCTATCTTTAAGTGATTTATTTCCTGTGTATTTGTGTGCAGCCTCTTTTCCAAAGTGAGCAGGTGAGCTCCTCAGGCTCAGGCACTTCCTGTGGGTCGCTCATTAGAGTCCCCCTGGAACCCTGGGGACACGTTGTTAGTTGTTCTGTTTGTGGTGAAACCCTCATTGGCTCTCACAGGCCTGTGCAAACACATAATTCTCCCGGAAGCGCTGCGGACCAAGGAGCTCATCTTACACCTGTACCTGCCGATGCACTCCCTCCAACTCCTTACTGAGCACTGAGGTGGCGGGCGCCGTTCCCCACTGTGGGGCACATGAGTGAACACGCTCGGAGCCCTGCCCTGGAGGGGCTTACCTTCCAGCAGGGAAGGAGCACGAACGACAAAGACAATAGATGAAGTTACACAGAATGCTGGGAAGTTATGGGTGCTATGGAAACACTGAACAGTACAGCAGTCACCGAGCAGATGACATCCCAACAAAGACCTGGGGGAGATGGGGTGCTGGCCACGTGGCTCCTGGGGGAAGGACATACGGGGGACCTCTCCTTGGAAAGGCCAACGCAAGCCCCTGGGAGAAAGCATCTTGGTGTGCACAGGAAACAGCAAGGAGCCAGAATGGTTAGGGCAGAGGTCAGCAGGAAGAGAGAGGAAGGAGATGATGTCAGAGGTACGGGACGATCACGCAGCACTCTGTAGAGTCCTCCGTGCGGATTCTGGTTCCCTCTGAGTGAAATGGGGAGGTGTTGGTGTTTTGCACAGAGAAGCGCCATGATCTGCTCTTTGTAGAAAACAGACAGGCGGGAGGGGAAAGGGTGGACTAAGGGATCCAGTTAGGGGCAGTAATCCAGGCTGAGGCGCTGGGCACTAGGTCATGAGAAGTGGTGGGATCCTGGATCAATGGGAAGGAGTGTCACCGGGACTTCCTGACAGCTTGGCTGGGAGCGGGTCAAGCCCGAGAGGAAGACGGGAGCCAAAGATGACTCTAGGGCTCTGGCTAAGCATGCGGCTGTGGAGATGCAGATCCTCCTGGAGAGATTCGGTTTCCGATGTTGCATTTCAGGTGTCTCAGACATCCAAACGGAGAGTTTGTGTGACCTCTTTCTGAGTGCAGCAGGGAGGCGCATCTGCAAGGCGTGGCCTCAGAGATCCTGCGCCTGATGAAGAGGCGGGGGCATCACCCTGTCAGAGTGGCCGAGGTCTCGGAGGCTGAGGACAGAGGCCAGGCGACATGACCAACATGGGGTCACTGGTGTCTTTAAGGAGCAGCGCTGGTGAGCAGAGAGCTATCAAGGCAGCAAGTAAGGACACTTTTGAGAAGTTTTGCTGCAAAGGGAAGGAAGCAAAGACGTGGCGGCAGCTGGTAGGGCAGGTGAACTCAAAGGCTTGTTTTTTAGTGAAACAGAAGGGCGCACTGGGCTGATGCGAACAGCCCAGGAGAGCCGAGAGCTCTGAGGGAGGAGCGAGGAGAACCTGGGGCAGAGCTGTGCAGTCAGAGAGCGGGGAGCCCCAGTGCCCAAGAGGGGGCCTGGGCTTAGACAGGAGCACAGGGCGTGGAGGGTCAGAGCTGAGGGACGATGCCTGCAGGTGAGGACAGTCTCTCCTGACTTCTTCCGTTTTCTCAGGGAAGGAGGACGCAATCGGTGGGGATGGGACGGGGGTGTTGGGGGCTGATGTAAAAGAAACTGCGAAAGAGTCGCTTGGGAAAGTGGGAACACACGCGCCGCAAGGATCAATAGTGCGATTGGGTGTCAGCGTGCAGGGTCCAGCTGGGAGCTCAGCACAGCGGCTGCAAGACTTGTCCGAAGCATTTATTCAACTACTCATAACCTTTCTTTGTCAACGTCTCCCACCAAGCACAAATGTAGATGTCTCTCAGGGATGTAATGAAACAAATGTTAACATTTAAATCGCAGGAAAACTGCTTCCCCGGAGTTACCATCACAGCTGGAATCCCCATACTGTTTCAGGTTGTGAAATGTGACCCGCAGGGGGTACACGGCCAGTGGGGAGTTGTTCTATTTCACCCTAAGCCTATCCTGGAATTGGGGGTGAGCCTCCCGTCTTGTTACCTGAGTCCTCACCTCACTCAGTTCCCTCCCCAGAGTGATGCGAAAGGGAAGGGAGCGGGTACATCCTGGGAAGGGGAAGGACTAAGAAAGCACTCCCCTCTTGACAGAATGATGCAGAACCCTGTGAGGACCAACCTAACGACATCCATCCCTAATGACATCCCGTTAACTACCCTCCAAAGCCAAAGGAGAGAGGGATTCAGGCGCCAGCAGAGGAGTCTATGCTAATAGGAAAAGAAGAAAGACAACGCAGAGATAAAGCCAGATGGCAAGACCTTACTTTGCCTAAAACTGTAGGTACCATTTGCATATGAAAGAAAACATTTTATGACCAACAAGGCAACATTCAAATGACCAAATCGAAGCAGCTCATTCTCTATTCCTATTTGAGGTTCTAAAAGCCTCCAAGTACGAATGAGGCTGATGTACACTCAGGGCACTAGAAACCAATCTGGAGTCAGCAAATGGTAAAAATTATTTCACTGAGCAACATTTTACGTTTTATTTCCTCCGTGGGAACGAAACTTGCCATCCATAAAAAGATGCCCGGAGTAACCCTGAGGTGTTTATTTCCCACCAGCAGCCCTGGGAGAAGCCAGTCTTTCAGTGACAGGTGACATGCCCCTTGTGCAGATGATCTTTGCATTAAAAAGGAATATTTCCAAACCACGTCATCTAGATCTTTGACAATCTGCACAAATCAACTCAACCAAACCAGTAATCATTCAAGACTTTGCATGCCACTTCAAGTTCAAGCTTAGTTCTACCAAAACTTTTCAGCATTTTATATAAAGGCATACATTTCTTGGGTAATTTCATCATTAAAGATGTAAGAGGTCCAAATTGCTTTTCAAATGCTACCCTGGGGCCTCTCCCACGCTGCTGGGGAGCGCGCATCAGCAGAAGCATTCTGGAAGATCATCCGGCCCCATCTACTCACACTGAACATCACAAAGCCTCCAACCCACCCTTCCACTCCTGGGACTTTGCTTTATCCCCAAGGAGGAAACGAGCAAAGGATGGATGGACTGCGGCACTCGTGCAACCAAAATACTGAAACCAATGGAAAGAAACCGACTCCCACCACAGCCAACAACGTGATTGCATCTCACAAACATAACGGAGAACAATGAAGCCAAATACCAACACTGCCAACAAATGAAGATGCTCTCACATAAGGTTCAAACACGGGCAAGACTCGCCCTGGCCAGGTAGCTCAATTGGTTAGGTCATCGTCCCGATACACCAACATTTTGGGTTCGATCCCCAGTTTCAGGACACACACAAGAATCAACCAATGAATGCATAGATAAGTAGGACAACAAATCAATGTTTCTCTCTCCCCCTCCCCAAAATCAATAAATAAAAATTATAAAATATAGGCAGGACAAAACCTGCTGCTGTCAGACGTCTGGAGAGTGGCCATCCTCGGGGGCAGGGTGGTGAGCAAGAAGGGGTCAGTGCTGTCTCCTTACGGGGAGAGTGACTTGTGATTTCTGCACTTCTCTCTCTATGTAAGTTCTATTTCAATAAAAAGTTTTCTGAAAAATCAGCTGCTCCAAAATTCAGGGGGAAAAAAACTTTTTTTTAAAGGGCCCTGGCAGATGTTGCTCAGTGGTCAGAACATCAGCCTGTGCACCAAAGGGTCTTGGGTTCGGTTCCCGGTCAAGGGCATGTACCTGGGTTACAGGTTGGATCCCTAGCCCTGGTCAGTCAGGAGTGTGAGGGAGGCAATCAATCAATGTCTCTCTCTCTCTCTCTCTCCTCTTCCTCCCTTCCTCCTTCCCTCCCCCTCCCTCTCTTCCATTCTCTTAAAAATCTATGGAGAAAATATCCTCAGGTGAGGATTCACAAAACATAAATGAACGAATAAATAAATAAATAAATAAAAATAAAATGAGCCCCAAAGCAATAATTTAGTTTTTGTCTTGTTTTAAGAAAATTATTTTTCTATATTAAAAAACAACTGTTTCTAGTGAACTGTTGGGAAAAAGAATGATTTAAAGGATTACACATGCATACCACGAAATAAAAATATTATCTATCCTCACAGCCACTGTGCAGTTAACGAACAAACAACCTTTCTCAGTATCAACTTACCTGAGTTGCTTTGCATAGCTGAGTTCAATCTCTGTTCTTTCCTTTACAAATTTGATGTATTTCTCAAGAATATCAATTCCCCACTGTGTGTGTTTTTCTAAGTTGTCAAATTGATCCTGTTTGAAAAAACAAAAACAGAGAGACAGTTTATAATCTTTCTCTGTGATGAAGAGAATTTCGATGGACAGATCTCTCAACAATACCCCGCTACACAGAACGCAGCTCTGATATTTTCCATGATTGTACTCCGTGCTCTTGTGTTGAGCGGTTTTAAATCAACATTACCTAATTTGGTTTGAAACTGCCTTGGGTTCTGATCTTGGCCCCATTTGCTCATGTTCTCTATCCCTATTAGAAACAAGTGTTTTGACATAATTAATGTCCTGGTACAAAGGAAAATCTCTATCGGATACTGAAAACTGAGGTAAACACACCCCACGTTAACTCACTCGCACTGTTAGCACCTTCACTGCTATCTCTGAGTGATCCCTCAAAACAGCTCATTGCAATTTGGGGCCAGGATATGGGAAGGAAAAGAGCCACAAAATACTGCTTTCTTCAAACAGATCAAATAACTCACATGGACTTTATTTGAACATATCAAGCCCATGTGCCAGGAATGGTGCTAGGAGCTGGGGGACCAAGATGAACAGAAATATAGCTCAATTTGCATTGTGCTTTGAGGTTCTTAGTCTAGAGACAGTGGTTCTCAACCTTCTGGCCCTTTAAATACAGTTCCTCATGTTGTGACCCAACCATAAAATTATTTTCGTTGCTACTTCATAACTGTAATGTTGCTACTGTTATGAACAGTAATGTAAATATCTGATATGCAGGATGGTCTTAGGCGACCCCTGTGAAAGGGTCGGTCGACCCCCAAAGGGGTCGCGACCCACAGGTTGAGAACCGCTGGTCTAAAAGAATGGGGGGTGGGGGGAGGAGGGGGGTGCCCCCTGGAGCACAGGTCGGGGAGGGTGCAAGGAAATGAGTGGTGGCAGGTGATAAAACAAAGTCCGGGCCTGTTCACCCAAGGCCTTGAATGCCAAGCTCAGGCTCTCCTACGGGCACCTGTGAGCCACTGAAGGGCTTGTAGGGTGGTGGGGGCGTGGTGCAGCCATAGATATGTTCAGAATCACCTGAAGACTGAAGTCAGGAGCCTGCTGCAGTTCAAATGAGAGAAAATGGGAGGAGAGAGGAGTTTACTGACAATAATCGAGGCCTAGTGACTGGGTGAAGAGGCTGGAGCGGGACGAAGGAAAGGGAGGCATCCAGGGTGACTCCCTGCTTCTGCTTCCTGTGATGACACATATGGAGGGGCAGCAGTTGGGGGTGAAGTGACTTGGTGACTGAGGGAGTGGCATGGCCAGAAGATAGTTGGAAACGGATCTATTTGGAGCTCAAGGAGGGAGGTCAGTGAGCTAGTGGATGTGAGCAGCAGCCAAGGGAGAGCCAGGAGGGAGGACCTAGGAGGGAGGGTCCAAGAGGGAGGACCCAAGAGGGAGGACCCAGGAGGGAAAATCCAGGAGGGAAGATCCAGGAGGGAGGACCTAGGAGGGAGGGTCCAGAAGAGAGGACCCAGGAGGGAGGATCCAGGAGGGAAGATCCGGGAGAGAGGACCTAGGAGGGAGGGTCCAGAAGAGAGGACCCAGGAGGGAGTGTCCAGGAGGGAGGGTCCAGAAGGGAGGGCTCAGGAGGGAGGGTCCAAAAGGAAGGACCTAGAAGGGAGGGTCCAGGAGGGAGGGTCCAGAAGGGAGGGCTCAGGAGGGAGGGTCCAGAAGGGAGGGTCCAGAAGGGAAGGTCCAGAAGGGAGGGCCCAGGAGAGAGGGCCTGGCAAGTGCGATGAAAGTGAAGAGAGTGTTAGCTCAACATTACCAGGAAGAAGGGATTGCAATGGGGCCAAGATGGAAAGTTTGCTGCCTCCCAGGGGTAACATCAACAGAGGATGAGGATTCTAGTCCCAGCTCCTTCCCAGAGAAAGGCCACGGAACAACGCAAGGTGTCAGGCATTTGCCTACCAGACAGAGTACTCCCTGCCTAATTTCATGAACTGGATGAGGATCAGAACAATGGTCAAGTGTCAACTCTATAACAATAAAAGCACCTTCCGGATGAAGCTGGGGGCTGTGAGGGAAGCTCGGGTCCCAGGTGCCAGAGGGAAGCCAGTGCCGGCAGCTGGGGGAAGGCCTACTCTTGCATGAATTTCGTGCATGGGGCCTGCAGTCCAATATAAAAATGCAAAGCTACAATGTAACCTGATCACAGGCCAGTGCAACCTGACAGTGAACATTCAGCATCATCCTCCCGCTTGCTTGAAATCTAGCACCTTCGATGTTAAGCCATCATGGTGCTTCGATTCTGCTTGCCATTCAAAGCAGTGCCAACTATCATCAGTGAGTCCAGCTCGGCGGGAGCGGGCAAGGCGGCAGAGTCAGAAACTCGCTTTCCCAAACTTGAGAAGCCCTCTTCTGAAGAAAAGTCATTTCCTCAACCTTAGTCCCATCCAGGCCCACAGAGCAGTTTGAGAAACATCAACTTAGAAACTAACGTTTTATTTTACTAGCATGTTTTTCTCATTAAAAATAATCACTGTAAAATATCTTTATACCTAATAATTTTTAACATTCTCATAAAAATAAGGGACAAATATTTATGGTGTCCATACATTCTTGCTCCTCAGTCATTTCACAAAGTCCTAGATTCCGTTTCAGGAAGCATGCTCAGGGAGGCTCTTTATTTATGTTATCTACAGGGGCTGTCAGGCAGTGAATAGTGTAAACACAAGACTGCAGGTCTCTTTAAACTACTTGAGAGAACAAATATACAAACAGTTCAAGTACAGAAGCCTCCCCTCATCTGCAGTTTCTTTCTCCACAGTTTCTGTTCTTCTCGGTCAATCTCTATCTGAAAATATTAAAATGGAAAATTCCATCTCACTCCATCTCACCACGTTGGCATTGTGTCATCTCACACCATCACAAGAAGGGCGAGGACGGGACAATAAGATATTTTGAGAGAGAGAAAGACCACATTCACACACTCTTATTGCAACTTCTTGTTAATGATAATTCTATTTTATTGCTAGTTATTGCTAATCTCCTACTATGCCTAATTTCTAAATTAAACTTTCTCATAGGCGTGCATGTATAGGAAAAAACATAGTATAGGCAGGGTTCGGTACTATCCGCGATCAGGCATCCACTGGGGTCTTGGGTCGTATCCCGCGGATAAGGGGGGTGGGGCGGAGATGAATCTCAGAATTCCAAATCATCCCTGGCTATTTAGAGCAGGGCTTCTTTAAAGCTCTCTGCTAATCAGCAAACTGTGTTGATTTAGCTTCACAGCGATCATCTTCATTTAAAAACGCCTTTCCACACACCCATGTGAGAGCCCCCTCTTGTATAATTTCCCACCATCTCCAAAGCGTTGGCTATTTTCAGCAGTTAAAGGTGTTTCCTTGAAAACCTGCTGAGACCATCTGCTCTTCCATTTCACTCTTGCCTGGTCAACAGTCTAACTATATTTCCCCCTATTCCATTAGTTTGCAATTCTCTTTGGTCCTAATGTATACAATATAAAGCAACAGGGTTTGATACTGAATCCTTTTTTAAAAAATCTGCATTTGAATTGAGTTCACCTTAAAAATTACTGGCCTCAAACCAGCCATATGTTTTTGATAAAGTTATCTGTATCTAAGACCATACCCCAAGCTGTAATAAAGCACCTGCTAACAGAACAGGGTCCGAATAATAATAAAACCTCAGGCAGTACCAGGTACACAAGTGCTGGCTCCCGATGAGCCGGGTCTCCTTACGCTATGAAAATCCCCTGGCGACGCCTCGTCCCTGCTGCTATCACGTGGATCGCCACAGCATGAACTCTTTAGACAGAAGCTAAGAGGAAATTCAAAACAGATGAAAAACTAATCAACCCACTTACATTCTTGACTAAAATGTGGAAAACTTAATGGGGAAAAAAATTTCCAAATCTTAAAAAAAACACACACACAAAAAAACACAGTCTCTGCTACTTTTGGATGGTGCCATTACCCAAAATGCACCCCTGCCTGATGTGTCACGTGACAGAAATTCCAAAGACCCATCTGCCCCCTTAAAAATCATTAAGGACCCCAATAAGCTTTGTTTATCTGGGTTGCAGCTATCAATTTTTACTCAATTGGAAATTAAAGACCCCATGACTTTTTAAAATACGTATTAAATCATTTTAAATAACATGTATGTATTTTTATTTTTAAGAACTTTCCAAAACAAGAAAAACAGTGGGAGTGGCACTATTTATATTCTTGCAAACCTCTTTTGTGTCTGGCTTAACTGAAGACCCTGGATGCTCACAGCGCTCCTCTAGTCAATCTGCGGTGATTCCTTACTTTGGCTGAAGTGCATGAAAAAAATCCGACTTCACGCAGATACGCAGTTAGGAAACGGAGGAGTCTCCATAGCCTTGCTAGGTAATGGTGGATCTTCTTATTTGGTGCTCTGGCAAAACTCGACAAGTAATGGTTTCTTAGAGGCAGGTTGCCATGTGAAATCTGAAACCCTGGCGATGAATTTTTCATACTTGGTTACAATAAAACGCACTAGCCTAGCCTTACGCCTTGAATAGATCTTTCACCTGCGTGTGACGGTGTAGCGCATGCTCTGGTTATGTAGAATACATTATTTCACTGGTATATGCAGATCTCCTAAGTGTTGACATGCTCCATTATAAAATATTTAAAAATCACATTGGTTTACATTTTATCTGATCTGATGAGTCTTAAACTATTTGGAAGCTGTCCAGCTTACAGTGGCAAAACAAGTTTTCCAAAATTCCCATTTTCACTTAAAAGCTAGAATTTGATCATTGGCAACAAATGTCAGTTGTTTCTTGGAGTGACAGGCTCACTTCATTCACGTCTGAGAAAATGACTGCCAAATCCTCTAGGGTTTGTCTGTCAACCTTTCTCTGAAGTACAGATGGTGTCGCAGGAAAAAGGGGGCTAGTTCAGCTCACAGCACAGTCACGAAGCATCCAGTTTTAGGATACTTATTTTGTCACACATGCTAGTAAACAGATGTATGTTCAAGGGTTAAAACTAATACAAAAAATACTGAACGTCAACTGTAATAAAAAAATAAAATTCTTTTGGCCAGTGTTACTCAGTGGTTAGAACACTGGCCTTCCAACCAGAAGGTCAAGGGTTCGATTCCCGGTCAAGGGCAAGTACCTGGGTTGCTGGTTTGATCCCCAGTCTCATTAGGGGCATGTGCGGGAGGCAGCCATTCAATGTGTCTCTCTCACATCAATGTTCCTCTCTCCCTCTCCCTGCTTCCTTCGACTCGCTCTAAAAATCAATGAAAAAAATGTCCTTGGGTGGGGATTAACAAAATAATAATAAAATTAAAATTAAAATAGTATTAATTTTTCTTTAGCGTGAAAAATGGAAAGTAAAGTTGAATACCCAAAAAAGGGTTGAGATTTAATAAAAGTAACTATCTCTATTGTTTCATCACGGCCATTTTTATTTTTTTATTTTTTTTTAAATATATTTTTACTGATTTTTTTACAGGAAGAGGGATACAGAGTTAGGAACATCGATGAGAGAGAAACATCGGTCAGCTGCCTCCCTGCACACCCCCACTGGGGATGTGCCTGCAACCAAGGTACATGCCCTTGACCGGAATCGAACCTGGGACCCCCCAGTCCGCAGGCCGCCGCTCCATCCACCGAGCCAAACCGGTCAGGGCAATCACGGCCATTTTTAAATAAAACTGTTTTGTTTTTTTTAACAGCTAATGGTGAGGAACACAATAACAACTTGTAGTTTGAAGCCAGTGCCTGAGTTATGCCAAGGTGCCCGCGGTCTCACCCACCACTGCTTCTGCACCGTCACTTGCAAATGTCCCCACGGTGAAAAAGACAATGTCATTATGAAAACAGTTTTGACCTTGTGGACTCTGGGAGAGGGTTTCTAGAACCTCCAGAGGTCCAGGGACCACACTTCACGAACCACTACCATATGACACATATTGTAAATTTCCATTTGAAAGCTGCATATTGCCAAAGATGAAGGAAGCCAGAGAATATGTGACCTAATGGAAAATAATGTTTAATGTATACTAGTAAGTGCCTACTATATATAGACTCAACAATTAACTGCATATGGCCAAGAGGACTGCAATGCTGTTCCCAAGCAGCTGGCTACAACCTGACAGGTACCTTTCAAGGACCCTCCTCAAACTCCCTTCCTCACACCCTCCCTCACCCCCAGTCCTGTCACCACTCACTGGGTTCAAACCACAGAGATTGGTGCCGAGAGGCTGATTAAGCTGCAAAAACGTGCGAGGAGAGTGCAATTGCGTTGGTCCCTATACAACTGGTGCGTTTCAGTGATTTCCAGGGCTGGTTTTATGTTCTCCGCTGTGGTTAAGCCCCTTCATGCGCTGGAGACTGAACCAGAGTCAGTATGAACTATGGCATTTGCTCGGGTCCTTGTATCTTCATCAGGGTTCCTACAGAACCATGACGATCAACAAACAAATCCTGCCCTCACATACCAACAACATACGCCCATCAGTCACTTCACAGGCTGGTCTCTCTAGCTCAGTAGATCATGATTATTCTTGGTTATTCAGGAAGTCCTCTGACATCCAACTTTTAAATTCAAATTATGCAAATGAGCTGACATAGGAACTACAGTCAGAAAAGCTAGCTAGTTACTTTGAGATAAGGAGACCGAAGTCAGCCACAAGAAGCTTTTCTCCAAAATATAGGTCAACTCTGAATGCGGTATCCTGTAATTGAAAAGTGTATTAAGCTGACACTAATTCAAAATCCCTGGAATAAGCCAATCCAGTAAGAAACTGAGTTGCTAAAGTTACCTCTGTGTAAATGTGTGAATGGCTCAGACTCAAGAAAGGGGCCAGCTCACCTGCACAGCAAACCCCTCCCTGAGCGGGGGCCAGGCCAGGGAGGGAAATGTCCCTCCACGTCACGAGGCCCGCTTCCGTCTGTGCTGTCTAGACCACGGTTTTAGGGTGCTCTTTATTTTGGGTAAGTTCACTTTCCTAAGGACTTGGACTCTGAGAAGCAGACCTTAAATGCTCCATTTAGACAGACTCCCCTGGGATGATATTATTGGTAGTAGCTTCCTCTTATCTGAGAGAGAAGTGTCAAAAGGTATAGATTTACCCAGAGTAAATGCAACAAAAGCTCCATTTAAAATGTTTTTAAAAGATCAATTTGGGTCTAAATACTGAAGTGGCTGTATATACAGAAACCCCCCCAAAAAGGTTTTATAAAACTTTAGAAACAAAACTATGTCATCACCAATGCCACCTCAAATCCTAGTTCTCAAAATTTTTAAAAAAACATATTTTTATTGATTTCAGAGAGGAACGGAGAGGGAGAGGGAGAGAGAAAAACATCAATGATGAGAGAGAATCATTGATCAGCTGCCTCCTGCACGCCCCCACTGGGGATCGAGCCCGCAACCTGGGCATGTGCCCTGACCTGGAATCTAACTGTGACCTGGTTCATAGGTGGACGCTCAACCACTGAGCCATGCTGGCCGGGCTAGTTCTCAAATTTTTAACAAAGACTTTAATTAATGTCTATGGACAAACTAAGGATTTTTCTCATACACTGAATTAAAAGCAGAAATGCCTACATGTATATTTTCAACATAAAAAGTGTCAAACCTTAAAGTGTTGACAAACCATTACCCAAGGTGACTTCACTGGCTGCCTGCAGAAAGAGCTGATGAAACATAAAAGGAAGAACCGAGGGTTTATTTTGAGGAGCACAGATCCCTTCTGCCTTGACAGTACACGTAGCTGCAGATTCTGTAAAGTTATATTCGTCTATTATTGGTGAAACAGGTTCCGAGAATTAGGGTGGTGTGCTCCCTGGGACGAAAATGCCAGCTAAAGCCAGAGCTTGTGACGTCATGGACAACACAGGGGCTCCAACATCCGGGCGTCATGGTTGGACAGTCCAGTTAATACCGTGGGTTTTCATTTGAAGGGAAACATAAGCAAAACAGGTTTTACTGCACTCAGAATCCCTTTCAAATGCAAGCCTGCATGCAACTCGGCCATAAAAACAGGTACAAATTTAGACACAGCCGCTGCATCTAGCCACAATCCCACCAGGTCTGTTTTGGTTGTAAAAATGAAAATACCAAGGAATTATTCTTTGTTCCTGGTCCTTTCCAGAACTGCATTCTAAACACAAGAGGTGAGAACATAAACAGACCCAAGATGAAATAGATGTACAAGCTTAAAAACACATACACACAAAACCTTACAAAATAGCCAACAGCCTAGGGATGGAGTCAGTGATACAAAGAATGTGGAGAGGCGCACGGATATAAAAAGCTGCGTTTCCATAGCGTTATCACAATAACTATATTGTGTAAAAGGGCAATAAGGAGGCTGATGCTGGATGTGCGACAAACGGCGGGACGAGGGGCTAATGAGCGCAGGATGCCCGCCGCTCACTGTGCTGCGATGTCACAGCGCAGCCTAAACTGAAAACAGAGGGTAAGAAATAGGACTTGAAGAAAAAGCACCAGATTTTGACTATCCTGGAGTCCGCGTGGATGAGGTCTGGAGGGGAAACTGCTATGGAACATCCCCCTTTGAGAAGCAGCAATGAACTCCGGGCCTATTTCAATGTTCTCAGAACACTGTAGTCCCTCTCGGCTCCCCTCTCTATTTCTCGGGATACAGTAAAAGCAACAAACAAATGTCTGTCACTGCCCCCAATATGCTGGGTGAACAAGATCATAAGAGTTTCAAGGAAAAACATGTTAAAGAGTGCTTACTCTTTTTTCATTAAAAAAAACCACACACACACAAAATACTAATTTGTAAAATGATCTTAAAGATTCCTCCTCCAGAGAGGCATTGTCAAAGATCCTAAACAGAAGGGGAAAGTCTGAAGAATGATGAGGCTATAAAAACCCCGTTCAGAAAGCTGGGTCTAACTTGCCATCGTGGTGGCTGGATCAATGGTAATGAAAGATAGATACGGTCACAGAAGCAAAATCGTGCTCTTTCTAAGAAAAAACTCTGCCTCCGGTGACAGAATGCAGGAGGGCTTAGTCAAGTTGTGACTGTCAGATGAATATCTTTCGTGCAAACATTCAGTGTCATCAGTATCTGGCTGCCACCCAGAAATGGAATCGGCTCATTCACTTCCCGGTTTCTGCGAGTCAGCTGACAGGTGAGGCTAAGTCAGACCTGGTCACTGCCGAGCCTGCTCAGTCAGCAGCACAAGGCCTCGTCACCTTCCCCTCCTGCGGCTGTCCCGCAGCCCTCCAGCCCTGGGGAACTTAACCTTGTCTCTCAAACATCCCACACTGCTCGGCAGGGGATTCTCTCCCCCAGGGCACGAGAGTTCAAGGCCAACCCAAGGGCAGAAGAGCAGAGGGGGAGGGAGAGAGGAGCAAACCACACTCAGCACCAGGAGGAACCTTGGAGGCGATCCAAAGACTAAAGAAGAGCAGTGTAGAGGCCAGATTTTTAATGAAAAGAAGAAGCCAGATTTTTGAAGATCTGACTTATTTCTAAACTCTGTAAGTACTTCCAGGTGCGTGTGTGTTGGGGAAGGGGTAGGGGTACAAAATACATTCCAGGTGTGTGTGGTGTGTGCGTGTGTGCGTGTGTGTTGGGGAAGGGGTAGGGGTACAAAATATGACAAAAATATCAGAAAAAATAATTGTATAAGCCCTGGCACCTGAAACTTAGTTAACACCCGTGGAAAGGATTTTCCAAAAACACTTAGCAATTAACTCACAATGTTAAGTAAAGAAGGTCAAGCAGACACATAGAGATTGTCCCCTTTTTAAGACAAGGGATCCCACCTCTCAACCCAAGCCTCTGGAAGCGGCGCTGGGGCTGAGAGGTGAGCATCAGTCCCGGGCATGGAAAACGAGGGGAGACCCCAGGCTGCAGAGAGGAAGGCTGAGCATAGGTGAAAGACAGCATGACGCTGCTGCACCTGTGAGCTTCCCCCTGGCTGAGGCAAGTCTTTGGGAGGCTGGCCCGCGCTTGCAGCCCTGGTTTAGTAAGATATCCTGTGGAACAGACGTCTTGGCTGAGCATGCAATAGCCAGACCCCACTGTCCTGTGGTTAGAGCACCTCTGCTCTTACAAGATCACCTTCCCATCGCCCTTCAGCTAGGGCGTGGCCGACTAGATGCCTGGGGGATCTGGGAGTGGCCACTGAGAAAGGTTATCCTCCCTAATAAACGCCCCTCCTCCTTCCTTGACATGGTCATAGCTGCTTGTGATGCTCGGAACAGCAGGAACAAAATTTGGCAAGCGCCTGGCTCTTTGATGAAATCACTAAACATCAACACCAATCCCAGAATCCCCCTGCCTCCGGAGTCCTCAAAATGTGAGCTACTACGTGTCCTTGTCATCTAAGCCACTTTTCTTTGGGTCTTCTGTGGCTTTCAGTCTAACCCATACACCCTTGCCTCTTTCCAGTACGCTGCAATAATTCAGCAGGTTCTGTGCCAGGCCTGGAATCAGAGTGGAGAACAGTGGTGTTTTAATGGAGGTAAAATAAAAGGCCAGGGGGAGTGCATGAGTGTGGGACCCAGTCTAGCCGTGGAACTAGGGAAAGTGATGTCGAAGCCGAAATAACGAGGATAGGTAAAGCCAGCAGGCAAATCAGGAGAAGTGAGGCTAGAAGGTGGGATCTGGAGCTGGATGAACTGGTCCTTTGACCTCTGGCTCTGACATACCAGCCACGTCACATGAAGAAAGTTACTTACTCTGTCTTTCTGGTGTTGTTTTTTTAAATCTCAAAATGGGGATACAAGCAGGATCTATTGGTAGGGTGACTATAAGAGTTAAACACGTTATCTCATCTCCTAGTAGCTAAATGGTACTAGGAGAATGTCTATAGAGTGAAAATTCTGTCCCTGAAAACCTGAAGCGGGGACTTTATTTCAAGCAAGTAATAAACTAACAACTCTGTTCATTCTTGTCCCAGGCAGAGGGACAAGAATGTGTGAGGGCCCTCGGAAGGAAAGAACACGGCAAGTGGAAGGAAATGAGAGCAGTCCCTCGAACCCGGAGTGTGAAGACAAAGGGAAGGAATAGTGTGACGGGGAGACAGGCGGAGGCCCGATCATCAGCCTTGAAGGCCGCAGCCAGGATTGCAGAAGACTGGTGACTTCAGAACCGGTGGCGAGTGTTTGCCAACTAATACAATCCCTCCTTCTCTCTCACACCCCTTTGTGGCTTCCAGCCTGTTTTAAATTTATTTAATGAGGTTCAGCGCAGTGCCAATGAAAATCCCAACAGGTTTTTCTTGGAGAACGTAACTCGGAGGTTTAAATGGAATTGCACGGGTCAAGCAGTAGCCAAAACACTCTTGCAGGAGAACAAGGTGGGGGTTCGTGCCACACCAGATGCTGACTTACTATAAAGTTAATGAAGAGGTTGTGTCGTGTTGGCCAGGACAGAAAACAAGGTAAATACAAGGGGCAGAAAGGCCAGGAACAGGGCCTGCAAAAAGAAGACTCTTGGGAGAGAAGAGAGGCTGCCATGGAAGGCATGGGCTCTCACGGCCGCGGCCCGGGTCTGGAGCTGGATGAACTGGTCCTTTGACCTCTGGCTCTGACATACCAGCCACGTCACATGAAGAAAGTTACTTACTCTGTCTTTCTGGTGTTGTTTTTTTAAATCTCAAAATGGGGATACAAGCAGGATCTATTGGTAGGGTGACTATAAGAGTTAAACACGTTATCTCATGCTTGGAATACTGCTTGGTACCTGGTAAGTGTTGATGCTGCCATCACCACACAGGCCGACGTGCCGGGATAACTGTGTAATGATTGGATAAAATGAAATCAAATCTTCATTTCTTAAGATATATAAAAACTGATTCCAGATAGCCCTGGCCGAGTAGCTCAGTGGGTTAGAGTGTCATCCCCATACACCAAGGTTGCGGGTTTGATTCCTGGTCAGGGCATAAACAAGAATCAACCAATAAATGCATAAGTACGTGGAACAACAAATCAAAGTCTCTCTCTCTCTCTCTCTCATCCCCATACACCAAGGTTGCGGGTTTGATTCCTGGTCAGGGCATAAACAAGAATCAACCAATAAATGCAGAAGTACGTGGAACAATAAATCAAAGTCTCTCTCTCTCTCTCTCTCAAAAATCAATAAAACACACACACAACAACAACAAAACTAATTCCAGGTAGGTTAAAGACCTCAATGTACAAAGCAAGATTATAAAACTTTCAGGAGATATTGGAGGAGAATGTCCTTCTGCTCTTGGCATAGGAAAGAGTTTTTAAAGACACAAAAGAGCATGCACCAGACAGAAAACAATGTGACCAACTTGGCTGTATAAAAACTAACAACTCTGTTCATGAAAAGATCCAAAACTAATTCCAGGTAGATTAAAGACCTCAATGTACAAAGCAAGATTATAAAACTTTCAGGAGATATTGGAGGAGAATGTCCTTCTGCTCTTGGCATAGGAAAGAGTTTTTAAAGACACAAAAGAGCATGCACCAGACAGAAAACAATGTGACCAACTTGGCTGTATAAAAACTAACAACTCTGTTCATGAAAAGATCCCAAGGAATGAGAAACGATACCGGACAAACTGGGAGAGGATGTCGGTAACACATGTGATCAGCGAAGGATTAGTATCTAGAATAAAGAACTTTACATTCATTTTCTTTTTGTTTTTTAAATTGATGTGTAACATAACATTATATTAGTTTCAGATACACAACATAATGACGCAATATTTGTTATGTAATGCAAAATGGTCATAGTAAGCCTATTTAACATCCGTCACTATACCAATTTTCTTAAAAATAAAAAAAAGACCCAACAGGAAAAGGGGCAAAAATAATAAGAGTTTTAAGCATGAAATGATATTCAACCTTATTAGTAATCAGGGAAATGCATATTAAAACTATGAGATGCCATCTCACACCCACCAGCCTGGAAAAAATTTAAAGTCAGGGAACATCAAGCCGGGGCTGCAAAGGGACCGCTCACAGCTGCTGGGGACCTTGGGACACAGACTGGTTTTACCCAGTAAGGCTGCCTGCACCCCTGTGTGACCCAGCAATGCCTCTACAGGATACGATCTTAAGGTCTAGGACGTAGACAGAAACTCCTGCACCAAGAGAGAGGCATAGCAGCAAGATGCAGGAAACAACTCGACTGCCCACCCGATTCCATTTATCTCAAGTCCCAAAACAGGCAAAGCGAAATGTATTACCTACTGAGGCATTCATAAGTGATGATAAACTACCAAAAAACCCCAAAAGAATATTTTTAATACAAAATTCTGGGTAATACTCGATTCGGGTGGGAGATCAGGAAGGGGCCACAGGGAGCGTTGGGAGCAGAATATGTTCTTAGTTCTTTCCCTGGGTGCAATGGACATGGGTGTTCAGTTCACTGCTGTTTTGTACATATCACTCTATACCTACACGTTTTCTTTTTTTCTTTTCATTGAATTTATTGGGGTGACATTAGTTAATAAAATTATATAGACTTCAGTACAATTCTATAATGTATCATCTGTATATTGTATTGTGTCTACACCACCCCAAGTCAAGTCTCCTTCCACCACCATTTACCTCCCCTATATCCTCTTCCACCTCCCCCCACCCTCTTCCCTGTGGTAATCACCAGACTGTTGTCTGTGTCTATGAGTTTTTTATTTTTTCATAATCCCTTCACCTTTTTCACCCAGTCCCGTGACCCCCTCTCCTCTATATCTACACATTTTCATATATGCGCCTGTAATATACCATAATATTTAATGATTTAAATTCGGATTGATGGGAAAATCTTCAGCATAAGAGAAACTTAAGATCACTTGAGCCTCGGCCAACTGGAGATCAAAAACGAAGATAAAGCATTTAAGGAAAGAAAAAAAAGTCAAGAGAAAAATCTATTAGACAAAGTATTGAACTATTACTGTTTCTTTGATGTACTTCCTGTTTTGTTCCCATTACAAATATAAAATGGTCTTCAGAGAGGGCATCATTAATACCCAAGTATGAATTGATTATTGATTGCAAAAGAGACTTCACACTTGGGAAGGAAAAAAAAAACCTTAAAAAAAAATAATCCAGGACTATTATTGTCAAAAAGCTTAAGGCACTTTTCACATATCACTACACAAATATAACAGATAATTTCCCTCAATTAAAATGTTTATGAAGGTTAAGCGAACACAAATATTACATTAAGCAACATACGTTGTGCTTCTACTCTAAGCCAAAATCATATCCATCCATTCATTCATCCATCAGTATTTTACCTACTATGTGTCAAACACTAAAAACTGAGGACATACTGGTAGCAGCAAACAGAAGATGGACTATTACTCAGCCACAAGAAAGAAGGAAATCTTGTTATTTGTGACAACACAGTTGGACCTTGAAGGCATTATGCCAATAAGGGAGATAAGTCAGACAAAGACAAACACTATGATATCACTTATTGGTATCTAGAAATGCCCAACTTCGAGAAACAACAGAGAGAAGCAGGATGGTGGTTCCCAGGGACCTGGGGGTAGGGGGGTGGGGTTGTAATGGGGAGATGTTAGTCAAAGGGTACAAACTTCCAGTTAGAAGATGAATGAGTTCTGGGGATCGAATGCACAGTACAGTGGTTATAAATAATAACACTATTTCATACACTTGAAAGTTGCCAAGACATCTTAAATGTTCTCACTACAAAAAGGAAGTGGTAAGTATGGCATGGGGGTGATCATTTTTCCATGTATAGGTGTATCAAATCAACACATTGTATACCTTAAACTTACACAATGGTATATCTCAAAGCTGAGTGGAAAAGAATATAATGTAGCTAAATGGTACTAGGACAGGGGTGGGCAAACTTTTTGATTCAAGGGCCACAATGGGTTCTTAAACTGGACCGGAGGGCCGGAACAAAAGCATGGATGGAGTGTTTGTGTGAACTAATATAAATTCAAAGTAAACATCATTACATAAAAGGGTACGGTCTTTTTTTTTTTAGTTTTATTCATTTCAAACGGACCGGATCCAGCCCGCAGGCCGTAGTTTGCCCACGGCTGGGTTAGACCATAGGCCCATGCACCAAAGGGTCACGGGTTCAAATGTTATTTTTCTTTTCATTGAATTTATTGGGGTGACATTAGTTAATAAAATTATATAGACTTCAGTACAATTCTATAATGTATCATCTGTATATTGTATTGTGTCTACACCACCCAAGTCAAGTCTCCTTCCACCACCATTTACCCCCTCTTCCACCTCCCCCACACCCTTTTCCCTGTGGTAATCACCAACTGTTGTCTGTGTCTATGAGTTTTTATTTTTTCATAATCCCTTCACCTTTTTCACCCAGTCCCGTGACCCCCTCTCCTCTATATCTACACATTTTCATATATGCGCCTGTAATATACCATAATATTTAATGATTTAAATTCGGATTGATGGGAAAATCTTCAGCGTAAGAGAAACCTAAGATCACTTGAGCCTCTGCCAACTGGAGATCAAAAACGAAGATAAAGCATTTAAGGAAAGAAAAAAAAGTCAAGAGAAAAATCTATTAGACAAAGTATTGAACTATTACTGTTTCTTTGATGTACTTCCTGTTTTGTTCCCATTACAAATATAAAATGGTCTTCAGAGAGGGCATCATTAATACCCAAGTATGAATTGATTATTGATTGCAAAAGAGACTTCACACTTGGGAAGGAAAAAAAAAACCTTAAAAAAAAATAATCCAGGACTATTATTGTCAAAAAGCTTAAGGCACTTTTCACATATCACTACACAAATATAACAGATAATTTCCCTCAATTAAAATGTTTATGAAGGTTAAGCGAACACAAATATTACATTAAGCAACATACGTTGTGCTTCTACTCTAAGCCAAAATCATATCCATCCATTCATTCATCCATCAGTATTTTACCTACTATGTGTCAAACACTAAAAACTGAGGACATACTGGTAGCAGCAAACAGAAGATGGACTATTACTCAGCCACAAGAAAGAAGGAAATCTTGTTATTTGTGACAACACAGTTGGACCTTGAAGGCATTATGCCAATAATGGAGATAAGTCAGACAAAGACAAACACTATGATATCACTTATTGGTAGAATCTAGAAATGCCCAACTGCGAGAAACAGAGAGAAGAATTGTGGTTCCCAGGGACCTGGGGGTAGGGGGGTGGGGTTGTAATGGGGAGATGTTAGTCAAAGGGTACAAACTTCCAGTTAGAAGATGAATGAGTTCTGGGGATCGAATGCACAGTACAGTGGTTATAAATAATAACACTATTTCATACACTTGAAAGTTGCCAAGACATCTTAAATGTTCTCACTACAAAAAGGAAGTGGTAAGTATGGCATGGGGGTGATCATTTTTCCATGTATAGGTGTATCAAATCAACACATTGTATACCTTAAACTTACACAATGGTATATCTCAAAGCTGAGTGGAAAAGAATATAATGTAGCTAAATGGTACTAGGACAGGGGTGGGCAAACTTTTTGATTCAAGGGCCACAATGGGTTCTTAAACTGGACCGGAGGGCCGGAACAAAAGCATGGATGGAGTGTTTGTGTGAACTAATATAAATTCAAAGTAAACATCATTACATAAAAGGGTACGGTCTTTTTTTTTTAGTTTTATTCATTTCAAAAGGGCCGGATCCTTGCCCACGGCTGCTCTAGAGTGATGCTTTCTTAATGCAAATAACTCACCTGCATTGGCTTTAAGGTCTTCAGGTGTGACCATGACAACAAATCGGATTGCACGTTCATTTCGAAACATCTCGTAGGACCACCGCCAATTAAAATTATATAGACTTCAGTACAATTCTATAATGTATCATCTGTATATTGTATTGTGTCTACACCACCCCAAGTCAAGTCTCCTTCCACCACCATTTACCCCCTCTTCCACCTCCCCCACACCCTTTTCCCTGTGGTAATCACCAACTGTTGTCTGTGTCTATGAGTTTTTATTTTTTCATAATCCCTTCACCTTTTTCATCCAGTCCCATGACCCCCTCTCCTCTATATCTACACATTTATGTTTTTATTGGTTTTCAGAGAGAGAGAGGGAGAGAGAAACATCGATCGGTTGCCCCCTGTACACACCCCTACCAAGGATCGAACCTGAAACCTAGGTATGTGCCCTGACTGGGAATCAAACCCACAACCTTTTGGTGTATGGGACGATGCTGCAACCAACTAAGCCACCGGCTAGGGCAAGAATCATTTTTTGCTAGATAGAAATAGTAAAATATTACATCAAAAAAGACAGCCCAATTGTTCTATTGTTCCCCAGACAAAAGCCAATACAAGCCAGCCAAATTGATTTTTTTTTTTTTTTTATGAAACTGACAACTAGATTGCACTGGTTTCATAAAAAGTCTTTGTGGGATCAATAGTGATTTTGGATGAAAGTACATGCATGGAGTGATTTAAGAAAATATTTTAAAATATCCATTTTGTAATTTGCTCTGATGTTTGCAAAAATCAATGCTCCAAAACAGATCCTCATGGATGCTCCATCTGGAGCCCAGACCTGCCACATATTCAAAGTTGGCAAGAATTAGCTGGAAAGAAACAAACAATGCCACCCCTGCTTGTTTTGTTGTTTGGGTTTTTGGAATTAGGGCTGACCAGAGAGGAACTCCGAGTTTGTCTGATTTTATCTATATAAACACTGGACTATTTTCACAGGACCCTGGGAGATTAAAAACAAAACAAAAAGCCTACGGAACTTGAAAGCAACCACTGCTACCAGTCCTCTTTAAAGCTGTTCTGATGATTTGCCTTTTAGGCAACGGAACCGCATTTAATCACATTTCCCAATGAGACCACTACCAGGGGAATTCCTGTTGGCTGTCAAAACCCTAGCCTCGCATATGCAAATGCTTCAGCACCAGGGACGGCCTAAGAGACAGTGTGGCATATGTTCATTTTCACATCAGCAACACACATGAACATGGACATATTACCTCACACCTGTCAGGACGGCCATCATCCATAAATCAAACACTGTTGACAAGGATGTGCGGAAAAGGGGACATTGTGCACTATTGGTGGGAATGTAAACTGGTGTAGCCACTATGGAAAATGTATATAGATGCCCTCTAACTTTTCTTGTGTTGGGCAATCCCTCTTCCCCCTTTTTAAAAAATCCTCACCTGAGGATATATTCTTATTGATTTTTAGAAAGAGAGAGGGAGAGAGAAACATCGATGTGAGAGAGCACCTGAGGATATATTCTTATTGATTTTTAGAAAGAAAGAGAGAGGGAGAGAGAAACATCGATGTGAGAGAGAAACATCAATCGATTGCCTCCTGTATGCACCCCTACCAGGGATCGAACCCAAAACCTAGGTATGTGCCCTGACCAGGAATCAAACCCGAAACCTTCGGTGCATGAGACGATGTTCCAACCAACTGGGCGACCCGGCCAGGGCTTTTTCTCCTTTTTGTTTACTGAGTATTGTCTATTTGAGACCAAGAGGACAGTCACGACTTTAAAACTACTGCTTCTGCAACAAACTACCTGATGTCAACGTAAGACCCAGAGGTACTCAGCATGTCGGAGCACCCCTGCAAGTGCCCACAGGGAGAGAGAAGCTAACATGCGACGCCAGCTCAGCGGAGACGCGGCCCACTGACACCTTAAGGCTCCTGGGCTCTCTCTGAACGGCCTTCACAGATTCGAGGGGGCTGGCACTGCAGAGCTTTGAAAAGCTGCCATCTCCTCGAGTGGCCGCGGCTCTCAGCCCTCCGTTCCCACTGCAGGAACAAGAGGGCCAAGTGCGGTGGGGCCCTGTGGGGCCCGGGGGGCCGTGCAGTCACAGTTCATTCGAACATCCTGTGACGGACGGAGGCTAATTAAAACCTATCTCACACACACAGATTCTCACTCTGTTAAAGCAAAGAGCTTCTCGGAAACAGTGACCAATTGCTGGCTCTGTTTTCAAAGTCCTCCTGCTATAAGATAACATAAAACTGGTCATTCAGAACAGACAGGGCTGTTAGGTCATGAAAAATTATTATAGCAATTTCTAGAAATCTCACACCTATTAAACTTAAGGACAGCCATCAAGCCCATCGCCCACGGCCCCAGCTCAGTGCCTTGCACAAGACATGTTTTGGAGGTGAGCTACAACCCAGGGAAAATGAGTAGTCAGGCTAACTATAGTGGCTTTAAAAAAGAACCAAATAGTTATTTTCAGTCACACACTGTAATTACAGTAAAAAGGGTAAGGAAGTCAACCTGGACCGCTCACTGTGAACTCCAGTCTTTTCGACTTTGGCTCCACTCTCCCACATGCTCGAAGAAAAACATTAGCCAACCCGACTGAAAGCTACCAGATACTGGTTTTAGCAGGTAGAGTATCAACTGATTTGGTGGGAAATCCATCTGCAGAGACAACAATTCCCTTACTTCTTCGAGTGTGGTTCAATGTCGTGGGTGTATTTTTAACTGGCACCTCATATACCCTTTATAACCCGTGTTGCAACAAGAATACTCAGATAATCATTAAGGAGACTTCAAACACCACACAGCATCCTTTAATTACTTGGGAGAAAATTTATAGAACCTTCTGAAGAGTTAAAGATCAATTGTTTTATGCAGCATTTACAATTTCCAAAGACCAAGGAGCTTCCTAGATTAGCTCCTTGCCATCTTGGAGATAACTAAAAATCTGTCTGTTTTATGCAGCATTTACAATGGCTTTTACATTTCCAAAGACCAAGGAGCTTCCTAGGTTAGCTCCTTGCCATCTTGGAGATAACTAAAAATCTGTTTGTTGTTGTTTTTTAATTAAGGTGGAATTCAAATAACACAAAATTAACCATTCGACAGAGAACAACTCAGTGGCACTGAGTATGTTCATAATGTTGTGCAACTACCACCTCTATCTAGTTCCATGATATTTTCATTACCCCATAGTACCCACTAAGCAGGTACTCCCCACCTCTGCCTCCCCTATGGCCTGGCAAACAATTGGTTTTCTGTCTCCATGGATTGGCTTATTCTGGATATTTTACATAAAAAGAATCACACAATATGTGACCTTTCATGTCTAGCTTCTCTTCGCTAGGCTTAATGCTTTCATTCAAATTGTAGAGCGGATCAGTACCTCCTTCCTTTTTCTGGCTGAATACTATGCCATTGTGTGGAAGAACCACATTTTGTTCGTCCATTCAGTCGTCCATGGACATATGGGCTGTTTCCACCTTTTGGCCATTGTGAATAGTGCTGCTATGAACATTCCTGTACAAGTATTTATTTGAACGACTATTTTCAATTCATTTGGGTTTAGACCCAAGAGTGGACTTGCTGAATCATAGGGCAACTATATGTTTAATGTTTTGAGGAACCGTCAGATGGTTTTCCACAGCAGCGGGACCATTCTACGTTTCCACCAGCATTGTCCAATGT